ACGTATTTGAAATATGGCTAGTCTGAATCGAGATGAGCTGTAGGTGGAAAATACAGATCATATATAGATAATTTTGTATATTTTATATATATATATATATATATATATATATATATTTTTTTTTTTTTTTTTTTTTGGAGACGGAGTTTCGCTCTTGTTACCCAGGCTGGAGTGCAATGGCGCGATCTTGGCTCACCGCAACCTCCGCCTCCTGGGTTCAAGCAATTCTCCTGCCTCAGCCTCCTGAGTAGCTGGGATTACAGGCACACACCATCATGCCCAGCTAATTTTTTTTTGTATTTTTAGTAGAGACGGGGTTTCACCTTGTTGACCAGGTGGTCTCGATCTCTCGACCTTGTGATCCACCCGCCTCGGCCTCCCAAAGTGCTGGGATTACAGGCTTGAGCCACCGCGCCCGGCCCGTATATTATATATTTTTTATTATACTTTAAGTTCTGGAATACATGAGCAGAACATGCAGGTTTGTTACATAGGTATACACATGCCATGGTGGTTTGCTGCACCCATCAACCCGTCAATTACATTAGGTAATTTTCCTAATGCTATCCCTCCCCTAGTCCCCTACACCCTGACAGGTCTTGGTGTGTGATGTTCCTCTCCTTGTGTCCATGTGTCCTCATTGTTCAACTCCCACTTATGAGTAAGAACATGCAATGTTTAGTTTTCTATTCCTGTGTTAGTTTGCTGATAATAGTGGTTTCTACCTCCTCAAAAAAAAAAAAAAAAAAAAAAAAAAAAAATGAGCCGGGCATGGTGGCACACATCTGTAATTACAGCTACTCGGGAGGCTGAGGCAGGAGAATCGCTTGAACCTGGGAGGCAACCAGTGAGTGAAGATTGCACCACTGTACTCTAGCCTGGGCAACAGAGTGAGACTTAATCTGAAACAAAAAAACAAAACACCAGGGGTGGTGGCACATGCCTGTAGTCCCAACTACTTGGGAGACTGAGGCAGAGAGTTCCTCAAGCCCAGGAGTTTAAGGCTGCAGTGACCTGTGATCACACTATTACATTCCAAGCCTGGGTGACAGAGCAAGACCCTGTCTCAAATAAATAAATAAATAAATGGATATCAGTGGCCAATAAAGAGTTGACTTTTGTAAATGTTCTAAAACATAGGTGAATGTTTGCTTTATTCAAATGTTCTATGTTATTATTTTTTGCTAACTCGATTTTTCAAAAATCTGGAAGAATTTTATCATGGTGTTTTGTTGGTTTTGTTTTTAAATAAAGGTCTTGTATTTCTGGAAGGTTTTGTTTTATGTATCTGGCTACTGTAATGCTTGGTGCCTATCATCTCATGGAGTGAACCTGTTAAAATGCCCATCTTCGTCCAGTTTAATGCTTCTTAGTGTCATATTGGGCCTGGCCTGGATTTCTGGTGTTGCTCTTTCTTTCTTTTTGTTCTCCTGCTATATGGTATATGGTTCATCCTTTATTTTTAGCCTTTGTGACTTTTAGGTGTAGATAGACTTTGTTTTCTAACACATTGATTTCACAGTCTGTTTTGGTAGGGAAAGTAATCCTATTTATATTTTTTGAAGTAACTCTGATTTTATTCTTTTTGTTTTACTTCTATTATATTTATTATATTTTGTACTCTTTTCCTTTTTTCTTACTTTTGCAGCCTTTTAAGTTTCTCTTTATTTCCTGCTTTCCTCTTTGTTAATTGCAATCCCACGCTTTTCAGTCCTGGAAGTGTTTACCTTCAGTTCCTCACAATCCAGACTGCAGCCCATCACTGGTCTATTTGTCACCCTCTGGCTTTACCCCCAGCCCAGCTTCCCCTTGGCCCCAGAGGAGGCCTTTTTGTTTGTTTTTTTGTTTTCAGACGGAGTCTCACTCTGTAGTCCAGGCTGGAGTGCTTTTGCTCCTTCTGGGACTGCCATTATTCCTGTTAGCTCTCCTTAATGTGTTCTCAACTCTCTTTCCCACCCTTATTTCCATTTCTCAGCTTTTTTACCTCTTTGCTCTGTGATATATCTTCTACTTGATATTCCGCATTACTAATTTGGTCACCATAGAGAAGCATGGTTTTTTTTCTGGGCCAGTGCCTGGGTTTTCACTACTACTTCTGATAAAGTGTCTTCCATTTAAGTGTTACTTCAGTGAGTTCTGCCTTTTCCAGGGAATGGGATTCCCCTCCCTCTGTGCCTCCTCAGGTGAGGGTTCCCTTTTTGTACTTGTGTCTGGTTGCTCTGGGTTTTTATGTTTCCTTAATGAATCAGCCTGCTGAGTAGGCCAAGAGGGGAGTGGTTGGAGAAAGCAGTTTCTGCTCTCTGGTCCGAGGTGAGAACTGGCAAATCATCAGCCCTTGCAGAGGATGGGGTGGGTGGGGAATTGTTTGCAGGTCTCTTTGACACAGGTGTTCCTTCAAGGAACCATGAAATTATGATTTTTGCTCCAGGCTTTGGGGTTACTGCTGCCTAGTTTGGAAGACTGTTAACTAAACAGGGGCATCTTGCTAAGTGGATGCTTAAGTCTCTGCTCCTCTTATGTCTGTTTGTGGCCTGGGGAGGGAGTGTGTTTGCCTGCAGGAAAGACTTTTGATAATTTGCACAAGGACTTTCTTTTCTTGTCAGGACAAGTGTCCACAGGGCTGCATCTGGAGGGTACTTTTCTCACCAAGGCACTGCTAGTGGCTGCACGAACCAGCCTCCAGGGGCTTCCTTCCCTCCTGCACTGCTGTTCCTTGGCTCTCTGCTGGTACCAAGCAGAGCCCAGTTCCGGTCTGTCTTCTTTCCAGAATCCAGAGTAGAACCTACAGCCTCAGATGCAACCACCCTCTTTTTTTTCTTTTAATGTTTTATTTATTTAATTAATTAATCTATTTATTTTTTGAGACAGAGTCTTGCTCTGTTGCCTGGGCTGAAGTGCAGTGGCACGATCTTGGCTCACTGCAACCTCCACCTCCTGGGTTCAAGAGATTCTCCTGCCTCAGCCTCCCGAGTAGCTGGGATTACAGACATGCACCACCATTTCCAGCTAATTTTTGTATTTTTAGTAGAGCTGGGGTTTCGCCATGTTGGCCAGGCTGGTCTTGAACTCCAGACCTCAGGCAATTCACCCACCTCAATCTCCCAAGGTGCTGGGATTACAGGTGTGAGCTACTGCCCCTGGCCTACTTTTACTTAATTCTTTCAAAAAAGTTGGAATGTACAGTGAAACAAAAGAGGCAAGAAATAAGTTTTAAGTCCCACCATCCAGAAGCAAATATTGATAATTTTGTTCATCTTTCTAACCTCTAAGATTCAAATGTGTGTATGTATACATATATATATATATATACACACACACACACACACACACACAGTTTTGCTCTGTCGCCCAGGCCAGAGTGCAGTGGTGCATTCTCAGCTCACTACTGCAGCCTCTACCTTCTAGGTTCAAGCTATTCTTGCAAGTCGGCCTTCCGAGTAAGTGGGACCACAGGCCTGTGCCACCACACTCGGCTAATTTTTGTATTTTTAGTAGACACAGGTTTTTGCCACATTGGCCAGGCTGGTGTCAAACTCCTGACCTCAAGTGATCCACCTACCCCGGCCTCCCAAAGTGCCGAGATTACACATGTGAGCCACTGTACCCAGCCAGTGTGTACATAATTTTGATTTTCTTTCTTTTTTTTTTTTTTTTTTTTTTTTTTTGAGACGGAGTTTCGCTCTTGTTACCCAGGCTGGAGTGCAATGGCGCGATCTCGGCTCACCGCAACCTCCGCCTCCCGGGTTCAGGCAATTCTCCTGCCTCAGCCTCCTGAGTAGCTGGGATGACAGGCACGCGCCACCATGCCCAGCTAATTTTTTGTATTTTTAGTAGAGACGGGGTTTCACCATGTTGACCAGGATGGTCTCGATCTCTCGACCTTGTGATCCACCCGCCTCGGCCTCCCAAAGTGCTGGGATTACAGGCTTGAGCCACCGCGCCCGGCCGACCATAATTTTGATTTTCTAAGTATGCCTTAGGTCATACAGTGTGTATATTTTAAAAACTCTTAGCAGAATTTCTGTTCAGAAAGACTAGGTCAGTGTCTGTCTTCCTAGTAACAGGGTAGAGGTCAGCCTGTCCTTCCACACTCTAGCCAGTGTTTACTGCTTCTGGTCACACTTTCACATGAAGGCTTTTAGGAGCTATTGACAAAGTGTAAGCAGACAAATCACATAACCAGATTTGCATTTTTGATTCCAACTTCAGGGCCTAATAGCTTTATGAGTCTCATATGGCCCCTAGGAGGCATTCAAGATAATGGAGACAGTAAGCAAAGGGGCGAGTTGAGGTGGAGAGTCTGAACAAGCAGGTCTCTAACCTGCAGCTGTGGAGAAAGCAATTCAGGGTTTCCTGTGGCAGGTAGAGGGAATACCTACTTGGCAGAGCATGCAAGACTCTTTGATATGCACCTTCATGTATTATCTTGTTCAGGGTTGGGATCTTTATCTCCTATTTGCAGATGAGAGAATTGAGGCAGAGAAAGGTTCAGCACCTTGCCTTTGCACGGCTGGTCATTCTGGCTTCAATGGCAAGGCTCTCAGCCTGTGCTCTTCACTGAGCTTTCCAGCCTCAGGCCACTTCCCTGGACCATTAGTTGGATTCTCAGAGTAGTTTCCAAGCCAGATCTTTCAGAGAATTTTGTGTGTAGGACAATTTTAAGACATCAGGTTCTTGAATGTTTTGTGCTAAGTCCCAGATTTCTCTTCCTATTTCCTACTTCTCCAAAAAGACGGAGAGCTGACATATTTGAATGTAAGCTCTTTGAGGCAGAGCCCTTGTAATCGTCTCTGTATAAACCAGTTACCATCCCAGTGATCTGTACTTGGATGCGTCAATCAACAGCTGTCCTGTTAAATAGGGCAAGTTTTTCTTAGACTCCCACTCTGATAAAAGAAAAATCAAAGAAATTATGATTGACCCAGATCAACACACACTGTTGCATTGTGTATATGTGTTTTTGGTGAACCCACTTTGGAAACAATGAAAAATCACATCTGTGGAGCGTTTTTACAGCACTTTTACAGTCATTTATGATAATAGGGACCTGCCCAGGGACTGGGCTAGGTGCTCCACATGTACTGTCATTATGTAAATTGTTTCTCACGAGAACTTGAGAAGCTAGCGGTGTAGCTATTATTATCCTTGGGTTGGTTTGCTTTTGGTTCTTTGGGTTTTTTCCTAGGGGAAGAAGTTGGAGTTTGGACAGCCCCTGGCCTACATGGGCTCCCTTTTGCAGAGGCTGCTTTAGCAGGGATCTCCTTTAGCTCAGGCAAATAAGCCAGCACCAGGCCAGGTCCCTTGCACTCCTTTGTCTATTTTCCCCTTTGTTCCTTGGATCTGAAAAACCTTCAAGGCTTCAGAGGAAGCTCAATGAGTTGATTCTCATGTACCGGGAGAAGAAAATGTAGAGGTGGCGGAACCAGAGGAGCTGGCTGCGGTGGCAGGACATGGCTCTCTAGAAGAATCAAAGAGAAACAGTTATAAAACACTTGCACTGGAGCTGTTTCATTGCTATCAGATCTGGCCTCCTCACCTGAAATCCTTCCTCACACCAATATGTTTCATGCTATAGCCTTATCTGTCTTATTCCTGTAACCCACGAACCTCTCTGAATCGGCCTCATCTCACTGCCCCTGTTTTCACATCTCTTGCTTACTCCCTGTGATTATAACAGACAATGCTCACGGTACTTACAGCACTCACCATGGGATACCAGAAAACTGGCAGAACAGTCTACATGCATCATCTCAATGTTAACCCTGTGAGTTAAGTACCATTCCTGCTTTTTTTTTTTTTTTTTTAAGACGGAGTTTCACCATGTTGGTCAGGCTGGTCTTGAACTCCTGACCTCAGGTGATCCGCCCGCCTTGGCCTCCAAAGTGCTTGGATTACAGACATGAGCCACCACGCCCGGCTATTACTGCTTTTTAAAAAATAAATAGATGAGTGCTAAGTGAGAGGCTAGACAAAAAAAAAAAAAAAAAGAAAGAAAGAAAGAAAGTAAATAGATGAGGGAACTCATCAATCACAAATAGCTAGTAAGTAGTAAAGCTGGCTGAGATTTTAACCCAGAGCCATCTGATTGACTCTAGAGTCCACATTCTTAATCATGTTGTTACTATCTCAAATATACAACACAAACAGGGATGTTTTATGGGAAGCAAGCCAGTACACTATTCCCAAATTCCACTGAGATAGGTCATTTGGGGAGATACAATCACTATTAGAAGAAGAAAAAACGGAATAGCACATAGGTGTAAGTTGTCCTTCCCGCCTTCTAGGGGAAATGTACATTATTTTGTTATTCAGACCTAATATAGTTTGGTTTTTAAACAGAATAGATTATAGCAACTGACTTCATTAGATATCCATAAAAGGATGTGCCGCTTTATTTCTAAGTACCATAGTTAACTTGCCTCTCTAAGCTAATATCTTCACAAACTTTTATGTAAAGAACCCCTTTTATGCCATGCACGGTGGCTCATGCCTGTAATCCCAGCACTTATAAAGGCTGAGGCAGGTGGACTACCTGAGATCAGGAGTTCAAGACCAGCCTGGCCAACAAGATGAAACCCCATCTCTAAAAAAAAAAATAAAAAATAGCTGGACACGGTGGTGCATGCCTGTAGTCCCAGCTACTTGGGAGGCTGAGGTGGGAAGATCGCTTGAGCCCAGGAGTTCTGGGCTGTAGTGCACTATGCTGATCAGGTGTCTGCACTAAGTTCAGCATCAATATGGTGACCTCGCCAGAGCGGGGGACCACCAGGTTGCCTAAGGAGGGGTGAACCCACCCAGGTCAGAAATGAAGCAGGTCAAAACTCCTGTGCTGATCTGTAGTGGAATCGCACCTGTGAATAGCCACTGCACTCCAGCCTGGGCAGCATAGTGAGACCCCCATCTCTAAAAAAAGATAAATAAAAATGATTTAAATAAAATAAAAAAATAAAAATAAAAAATAGAACCATTTTATATTCATTGTCAGAAGCTACATAACTTTAAAGATGTAAATACACCTTTGATAACCAAGCTTTAACTGGTAAAGGGAATTAAGGGAGAACAATCACCATAGAATATTACACAGCATTGTTTCAACAGGATATTCAACTACAATATTTTTTTTTTCTGAGACTGAGTCTCTGTTGCCCAGGCTGTAGTGCAGTGGTGCGATCTCGGCTCACCGCAACCTCTGACTCCTGGATTCAAGCAATTCTCCTGCCTCAGCCTCCAGAGCAGCTAGGGTTACAGGCACCCACCACCATGCCCAGCTAATTTTTGTACTTTTAGTAGAAACCATGTTGGCCAGGCTGGTCTTGAACTCCTGACCTCAAGTGATACACCCACCTCAGCCTCCTTAAGTGCTGGGATTACAGGCATGAGCCATGGAGCCCTGCCCAACTACAATTTTTTTTTTTTTTTTTTTTTTTTTTTAGATGGAGTCTCACTCTGTTGCCTAGGCTGGAGTGCAATGACATGATTTCAGCTCACCGCAACCTCCGCCTCCCGGGTTCGAGATATTCTCCTACCTAAGCCTCCAAGTAGCTGGGATTACAGGTGTCCACCACCACACCTGGCTAAATTTTGTATGTTTAGTAGAGACAGGGTTTCACCATGTTGGGCAGGATGGTCTTGATCTCTTGACCTCGTGATCCTCCCGCCTTGTCCTCCCAACTACAATTTTTGAAGAAAATTTACCATCAAACAAAAATGGATGTATAAACTTGCAGAATGGAATGAAAATTTTGAAGATTGTAATAAAGATAAAATATTTAGAAAAACATTGAGAGAGAACTTTGTAGTCCAAAAATCACACTTGATTTATCTACCTGTAATAGTTACCCAGTTACAAGGATTTCCCTGGCTGGGTGCAGTGGCTCATGCCTGTAATCCCAGCACTTTGGGAGGCCAAGGCAGGCGGATCATGAGGTCAGGAGTTCCAAAACAGCCCAGCATGGTGAAACCCCATCCCCTACTAAAAAAGTACAAAAGATTAGCCAGGCATGGTGGTGCACATCTGTAATCCCAGCTACTCAGGAAGCTGAGACAGGAGAATTACTTGAACGGGAGAGTCGGAGGTTGCAGTGAGCTGAGATCATGCCACTGCACTCCAGCCTGGGTGACAGTGAGACTCCATCTCAAAAAATAAAAAAAATTTTTTTAAAGGATTTCCTATATCATGTTGCCTCCGTGGCCATATACTGAGATGCCCTAATATTTCAATGACTTCCAGCATTCATTCAGTAAGATGGATATGTATAGAAATAATTTATTTAGTGTCTCCAAAATTTTATTTATGTGTGTCCAAAATTGTATGTGCAATTTTGTATTCCTGCTTTTTCCCCTCTTTTGTAGCATTTTCACTAGCCTTCGAAACTGTGATTTTACTCATTATATAGTACTGTCTCATTCACCTGGTGAATATTAGTTCCTATTTTGTCTATTATAAATTATTCTAATAAACATCCTTGCACATAAATTTCTGAACATATTGTTGCTCATTTCCTAGCATAAAATTATAGAAATATACAGAAAGAGTAGAATTTTTTTAAATTATGAAAATAAAAATTATTGGGTCAGAGTATGTATAAATTTATTTTCATATATAATATATATTTTTATAAATTACATATATATAATATATATGTGTGTGTGTGTATATATATATATATATATATATATATATATTTTTTTTTTTTTTTCCTAGAGACAGAGTCTCACTCTGTTACCCAGGCTGGAGTGCAGTGGCATAATCATGTCTCACTGCAGTCTCCAGTTCCTGGGCTAAAATGACACTCCTACCTCAGCCTCCCAAGTAGCTGGAACTACAGGTAGGCATTTCCACACCTGGCTAATTTATTTTTTCAATTTTTTGTAGAGATAGTCTTGCTATATTGCCCAGGCTGGTCTTTTTAATTTTTTTTTTGAGACAAAGTTTCACTCTTGAGCCCAGATTGGAATGCAATGACACAAACTTGTCTCACTGCAACCTCTGCCTCCTGGGTTCAAGTGATTCTCCTGCCTCAGCCTCCCAAATAGCTGGGATTGCAGGGATGTGCCACCATGCCCAGCTAATTTTTGTAGTTTTAGTAGAAACGGGGTTTGGCCATGTTGCTCAGGCTGGTCTCAAACCCCTAACCTCAGGTGATCCACCCGCCTCAGCCTCCCAAAGTGCTGGGATTACAGGTGTGAGCCACTGTGCCCGGCCTTTATTCTTTAATTTTTAAATATATTAATAATTATATAATTATAGTAATAATAATTGTATAATTATAGTAATAGTACAATTATTACTATAATTATACAATTATTACAATTATATATATAATATATATAATATACTATATATTATATAATCAATATAATATAATATATATAATTTATATTATATTATATATAATTATATATTATAATTACTATAATTATTACTATAGTTATACAATAATAATTGCTTGTATAATTCAGTAAATTTGGCCAGGTGCAGTGGCAACTTGGGAGACTGAGGTCAGAGGATTTCTTGAGCCCAGGAGTTCAAGACTGCTGTGGGTTATGATCACCTCTCTGCACACCAGCCTGGGCAAGAGACAGAATGAGAGCCTATCTGTAAACATATTTGTGAATTGGAGAGAGATCCAAGATGGCTGATCACTAGCAGCTCAGGATTGTAGCTCCCAGTGAAAGCGCAGAGAACGAGAGGAAGCCACACTTTCAGATGAATTCTTGTTGCTCACGCACCAGGAGATTCCCAGCGGAGGAGCCCCTCGGGTCACCAGCGCAACTCTTGTGACCAGCGAGGCGGTTTTGCCGGCGCCTCAGAGCGTTGGTTCTTAGTGCAGAGTCAGAAAAGCACCATCAATCTTAACGCTGCTGTTTTAGCCAGAGCAGTGGGTTGCTCAGATTTCAGCGCTGATAATCTATAAGCTGGACGTCCACTCAGAAACCCAATTACAAAGATGGTAATTATAAAGAACACAGATGGATAAATCTATAACGAAGGGAAGAAACCAGCCTAAAAAGGCTGAGAATACCCCAAATCAGAATGCTTCTCCCTCTACAGGGGATCACAGTTCCTCATCAGCAACAGAACAAGGCCTGAGGGAGAATGAGTGGGTTCCATTAACAGAAGCAGGCTTTAAAAGGTGGATGATAAGAAACTTCTATGAATTAAAAGAACTTGTTCTAACCCAATGCAAAGAAACTAAGAACTTCGAAGAAAAGTCTGATGAAATGTTAACAAGAATACACAATTTAGAGAGGAATATAAGTGAATTGATGGAGCTGAAAAACACAACACAAGAACTTCGCAAAGCATACACAAGTTTCAACAGCTGAATTGACCAAGCAGAAGAAAGGATATCAGAGGTCGAAAACCAACTTAATGAAATAAAACGAGAAGACAAGATTAGAGAAAAAACGATAAAAAGGAACAAGCAAAGTCTCCAAGAAATATGGGACTATGTG